ATATATATATACACTGTATATATATATTTAATGCATGTGTAAAAATGCTCTTATGTTTCTTATCTTCGTCTTCTACAAGGTGAGAAAAATATGACGCAGTCATTAAATGAATATGAATAATTTTTCCATTTTTAAAGTGTTATAATGATAGCGTGAACAGCGTTGTCCTCACATAATAGCGGCTGGCTCTCAATAGGGCCAATCAGGTTTTTGCGTCGGCTAGTAAGAGTCATAGGCACACGGTACACATTTCAGTTGGTTGCAATTTGCAACCTTTAAGAATGTTTTCTATCATTTCTTTGAATCCAGCTATTTCCCTGTGGCTGTGAAGGTATCCGTTCATTTCGAAGCTAAAAGAGCCTGCAAAGTTGGTGTTGCAGCCAGTTGCTTTTACAGTTGGTTTGATTGATTAGTAGTGTCCCGCAGTCTCTAATGCAGCTTTGGAGTTTACAGACTGCACTTAGTTTTGAAAGCTTGAGTTTTCCAAATTTTCTTTTGACCTTGGTGTTTGATTTCAGTACTTTTTGTCCGTCTGTCTTGCCCGTTATTGAAATGTCGCGACCATTCCATTAGTTTCCTGTATTGTGACTATTACAGCTGACATTCATAGAATCTGGAGTTACAATAAGTAACTAACGGTATCAAGCATGCATTCCAACACAAATGTTGAAACGTTTTTGTTTTATATGTAACAATTTGTTTGAGTTAAGGCATTTGTATGTTGGGCAGAATGACTCATTGAGTATATACGGTATAGGATTGTTTATGGCGTACAACATGCATTCATTTTAAAGATGACTCCCAGATGAACCCTGTGACTCTGCATAAACCTCTGCACGTTACACCTCCTAGTGTGCCATACGTTACCTGATTCAGGAGGAATCGGAGAACATGCGAGCTTCACAGGTACTGTAATGCTGATAGATTAAAGCGAAAAAGGTCCTGTGGTCAGTCAACTTAAGAGCAACGCGACGGTGAAGCTCTATATCATCCTGTTCCTGTCATATGGCATGAGATCTAACTCCATACCAGGTGCAACCTCTTTGTCTGTATCAATCCATATGTTTGAACAACCTCAGAAAAATTATTCAGAAAAAAAAAAAAAGAAAGGGCTGCTGAATGATGAATTATGTATCAAAGGACAAAGGCATCAATAAAGGCTAATGTGCTCTGTTTTTGGACAGGAAAACAGCAGCGGTGCCAGGTGACAGGGAGAGATTTAAGAGCCCTGGAAATGAATTATGACAGCGATTTAGAAAGGTGTCAAATGCACATTTACATTCCGCTCACAGCTGAAGGCTAGCACAGGAGCATTCCTGCAATTTGGGGGTGACACTGATATAGATCATATCTGATGCCAAAGGAGACCGGAGCCACAGATAGTGACCTGGGACCGCTTGCTGAGGCTCTGGGCTCTGCTTTTGTGCTGGCACCCGGCGGGGCTTTGTGCAGCTTGTATTGGGTGCACAGAGGTTTCTTTCTTGCCTTCATCCATTATACTTGCTGTGAACTTGACTTTTAGCCAAGTGGGGAAATAAAAAATTGCACTGTGTGCTTGTAGTTATCAGGCAATTTTGGTGTCAGTTTTGGTGACAACACCAAAGCACAGTCTGTACTATTTTCAACAGGTGATGCTCAAAAGAGCAGATTATTTTGACAAGTTTACGAAAAATCCTTGTCAAAATGTGGTCGATTCACCTTCAAAAAAAAAATCCTGGTATGAATACCTCGAGTTGAAAAAATAGCTTCAGCCCAGTCCAACAGAAGCCCCTGATATGAGGGAGATCAGCGCTGGCTCTGCGCCTGCACATCGGCGCTCGCAAGAGGCTCACCGGTGTATCGCAGACACATTCAAGATATCGAGCATGCTGAATAGGGTCCAAACAAGGTCCAAGAACCCCCCTCAGTCCTGCCTCAGTCCCCGTCGCGCCAGAGGAAGACAAGCTACCTAGCTAACTAGGGCGCCATCCGTCTCCCCTGCGTCCGCTCTCTTCCCCCGGCGAGCTGCGACAGCACTGTTTGGCACCACTGGCGTGTGTTGCCTCCATAACACCTCACTATAATCTGCATTTTCTTTTGTACGACAAAAATGGCCACGGAAGACAGTTTAATGTCCCATTTGCCGCTGATAAAGCTAATTGCCGATCATTGCTGATCCATAATGCTGTTTAATTACAGCAGCTGATCTACAAGGCCCCAGACTATATTTAGTTTTTTTGCTTATTAAAAGGCCCTTTGGCCTTTTAACACCTCAATATCGCCAGGGGGATCTGATAAACAGGACTTTCCACTGGAACCACCCAAACCTTAAGAGTCACAATGAATACAGAACCACTTTTAACCACTTCTGTCCAGATATACTCAGTACAATAACATATTGGGTAGAGAGAGAGAGACAGCTGTTTAACTGGAGGACCCAGATTTAAGCCCCCTTGTTGGCAACCATCCGTTGTCCTTAAGTGTCTCTGAGCAAGAGACTGAATCCCTGCCTTCTTAAGGGCAGTAGTCTGTGTCTGAACCTCTACCACAGCCTCACTGTTGGGGGGGGGGGGGGGGGGGGAAAGGGGGTAAAAGAAATCCTACAGGGATCAATGAAGTATTGCATTATGATCATCATCATCACCACTATGAGAGATCTAGGTCATGGACGTTCAAGGAGAAGCCCTCAGCTGGCATTGCCCCTTCATCAACACTCCCTTTGCAGCGTGGAGCATCTCATATTCTATTACAATGACGGCAATTAACAGAGGAGTGATAGCGACCCGGTGACAATGGACAAATTTGTGACAACCCTTTCGATTGTTCTTTTGTAGAGGAGATCTATATTATTGCCCGGGAACGTTGAGCTGCAGTGTGCTGCGTCCACGCTTGAGCGCTTTTTACAAGTGCCGGCGTAACGAGGAGCAGAGGGCAACATTTTAGCTGCCTATAAGCTCTCGCAATTACACAAGGGGGCAAAAGGGACATTGTTCTTAAGCGCGAGCCTAGATGGACGAGCACTTTTTTTTTGTTCAGGTCCTCGGCAGAGGCCGAGCCAGCTATGTTTAATCTGGAACACAACCTCTCTCTTTCCCAAAAGGAATAATGGATGAGTGGCAACCCTCAGCAGAAGTGATAAAACTGCACGGCTAGAGTGCAAACGCACACACACACACACACACACACACACACACACACACACAGATAGAAAAAGCACAGTTATGTAGGGTGAAGAGGCTCTTATCTGCCGTCTGCTCCGTCTACCCTGTTCCTCTTTACTTTTCTCACAGTGAATTTGTTTTGCAGGATTCTTCACCTGGTTTGTATCCAATACTGTTCGACTAATGACAATTTGCATACCGATTTCAAAGCGATGTAAAATGTCTTCATTATATATTTTTTTTGGGACAGGATAGAGAGAGGAGAACAAGAGCAGCCATAAGGACACCCCAGCAATTATAATTACCAACGGACAACCACGTATTTGAGGAATGAAAAACTGCCATATGGTTCTCTACATATTACACTATGAATGAAGCGCATGCTATGGCAACACGAGAGGAGTGAGATTACAGCGTTCACGTCCACACTTCATCTATTTTTTAAAACCTAATTACGGAAAAACGAGAGCGACGGAGAAGCGCGATTCGAGTGTTTTTCCGCAGTCATCTGACAGAAATTTCCACGTGTATGTAATTATTAATGATATACACCATGGGCTGAATGTCAACACTTATTCCAGTAACTTTCCTTCATGTTGACATTAACAAAATGGCTTGAGAGGAACACTTGAGGAAAACAATTCCTCAAATCTGTCAGGATTACATATTTATGAGGTCCCCCGCTCGGCATCCAAGGAGGTCGCTATGGTGATGCAAGCTGATGTATATTCTAACGATGAACTTTGTGTGTCAAAGAATGCCTCAGAGCATTGCTGCAATGGTTGGTGCAGATCCTAGCACGGCGCTCTGTGCAGCTCTCAGATCGGCAAATACACAATTAAAACGGCAGTCATGCTGAGGCCACTCTAATCAATGTACTGTTACAAAGAAATGTAATGAAAGGATGATGGACCGGTGCCTTGGGGAGGCTGCTATGTTGTTAGGGCAGACTGTAACGCTGTTGTGGCAGAGCGACATTTTATTAGCACATCTCTCGCACTGCCCGAGCCAGCCTTAATCATACTTGCATATCCTTTTTATTGTGAACAATAGGCAAATGCTATTTCACGTCTGCCAAATGTGCATTTTCCCAACGTGATACCATCATCCAGGGAGTGTTGTCTACCTTACTGTTTAGATTATAATTAAGGTAAACTCTATCTGCTGCCATCTTCCAAATCAGCCATCTGTGTCGCAGAACATATTGCGTAATTTGAAATTAAAAACAAAACAAAAAGCGGAAGCTTTCATACGGCTTAACCGCCATCTCAGGACGGCTTTGCGACCGGGCTTATCCGTGATGTACGGCTAGCTTAAAACGGACCCCTTTTACACAACACAGGAAACCCATTTATACGGTTCTTCCTTCCTATATGAATGGGACTTCAGTATGGCCTTTTGCGTTTAGCCAGACCCCACAGAGGCATGTGCACACAGTCGCGCTCAGTATGCTCGAGGAAGTAGGCCTCGGCCTCGTCCATCAATCCGCCCGTCTTCCTGTGCCAAGCTACAGGGAACTACCCATTATGGAGTCATTTTATTAATAGGGCCCCTTTCCTCTCCGCCACACTCTTGCAGAGTGCCTCCTCATTCTGTCAGAATGGAGTATGCCTGCGAGCCACCTCCATGAAGCTGCAGCACCAGGGCCCTCCCTCTTTCTTCCCTGTGAAAGCTCCGGCTGGGAAATATTGTGCTTTCAAGCTAAAATAGTATTTGGAGAGGTGAGCAATCCCTAAGCCCAAGAGCAAACAGTTTAACATTGAGGACTTATTTAAAATGATGTCTTTCCTCTTGGTGAGCCAATCAGATTTCTCTTTTAGCACGCGCACACACACACACACACACACACACACACACACACACCTTACATCATCCTCCCCTTCTTCCCCCCTCCTCCTCCTTGCTAATGTAAATATAGCTGCAAGCAGCATTGACTGGAGGACAGAAAAGGGTCAGAGGATACTGTGAGTGTTTGGGGAGACTGTGTGAAAACATGATGCAGAGGGGGAAGAGGGAAGTCTGGGAAGAGGTTTGCTTAAAAGGGCACATGAGTTGAACGCGTGAGGAAGTTGTACAGGACGAAAAAGGGATTGCACGGGAAATTATTATATATTATTTTATATTAAGGTAATTCATAAAGATGCACCGATTTCCAGCTGATCGGCCAGCGTCAGGCTCATCGGTTTCATATTTCATGTCGTGTTTTTTTCCGTTTACACACGCGTGCCGCATGAAAGCTTTAAAGCTTGCAATTTGTCATAACTGCAAGCCCAAAATAAACCCTAAAAACGGTTTGGAACGAATAACTCAATCATACATTATTGTATTAAATGCAACATCTCCCCGTAGCACAGTCCTGCTTATAACGGAGCTAACAGCTAACGGATGTTGTCCGTCTTCTAGTCTTTGGTGAGGCTTCCTTGGTTTCCATTGCTCAAGCAGTAGAAGCATGAGGTCATAACCATGAAAGTGGTTTCAAACCTTAGATATACAGACCAATCATTGTGAGGCATAAAGCAGCAGACCTATTAGAATGGTTCTATATTGTTCAATTGTTACCAGCTTGCTCAGTGTATGGCTAACTAGCATTTAGAAGCTTACTAACAGCCATTAACTACAGTAAATGTACTACAACTCATCAATACTCATGTTATTACCAGTCTTATTATTGATTACTAGTACGAGTAATACTGCTTATAATAATCAGGGCTTTGTTTCTCAAGACTCATTTAGTATTTAAGATAGGGTCTTAAACACACACTGTTATTCAGCTTTATTAGACAATCAAAAAAATAAAAATTGGCAATATGCTTTTGACGGTTCTGCTAATAATGCTGCATTTACCAAGGCGGAGGGGAAAGCCGTGCAGCCTCAGCAAAACGTGGAACATTTCAGTCACACAACAGCAGGAAAAACACGTGTTCGGATTCAATCAGCCTGTTCATGAAAGGGGGAAAAACACAGACGTGCGGTGGTGAAATACTGGTTTAACTCGGATTATTTTTCTTCAGAGTCAAGGAACGACTCTCTGGAAATGAACCCAGTTTGAGAGAGAGTCCTTCCCTGTGATAGCTGAAGTGTCTTTGCCCCCCCCCCCCCCACACACACACACACACACACGTGAATCGAAAAGATGGCCTTGAATTTGAGAGGCCGATTTTAAGCTCTCCTTGTTGGTGGTGAGGGTATCCACTGCTGCACCTTTGCGACCGCCTGAGCTTTAACTAAACGCCACAGCTGGTAATGCCTCTGAATAACCATCGAGAAAGTAAAATTGAATAACCGACTTTCTGTATTCATGAATCAGCGGAGGTGCCCAATGACAGCGTGCTCTCATGTTCACGGGTCCGATGAACATAAATCTCTCCCCGGAGACAAGCTGTGTATTATGTACTTTGATATCAATAGGTGAACAAGGGGGATGAAATGAGCTGCTAGCTTGAGCTGAATAGCATTCATTCCACTCACAATGCCCACTGTCCCTAATACCTGCAGTGTTTTACTTAGATTAGGCTTAAGCTGTTTTTTTAAAAAGGCCATTTCAATAATTTGACATTTCTCCCCCAGAATGGGAGCGAGCGAGCGCCGATAAAAACTTTTTTTTGTTTTTTGTTCTTTTCCCCCTCCTCCTTTTCATGCAAAACACTTTCATCTGTCATGTGGTGATAGCCCGTCTCTCTTTGTCAGCATAAATACGGGAGCCCCTATTTGAATATGGTTACACATCCCTCTATTTATTAAAGCTTGGATTAACATGACAGGAAGTTTTGTCTGGGGGCTCTTTAAGATGGCTCAGAGAGGCAATCTGGTGACAGTAATAGGATCCAGCTAATATACTTGACTGATGCTCCTTTCCCAGTGTTATAAAGCAGAACAATGGGAGTGGGGTTCCGGGGAGTGAATACATTGTGTTTTGTAATAGTGTGCGTGTGTGTGTGTGTGTGTGTGTGTGTGTGTGTGTGTGTGTGTCTGGGCGGACTGGGGGGGGGGGGGGCGCGCTAATCAGCCAGAATACCATCACTTAGCAAATATAAGGGCTGAAGGAATAAAAATAGTAAAGGTCACAGAGCAATTCCATCAGGACGACTATGCTACAATTAAGTGAATAGACAAAGGCTCTGACATTAGTGAGAGCTATAATAATGTTTTACTCCAGCGTCTGTGACTTTGTAGAGGTTCGTTAAAGGTTGGCTTTAAAAAATAAACACTAATTATTTTTATTACTTCTCTTCTTGCACCAGTGAAGTCCATTTACTATTTCTTTGCTCTGATGTGAAGGTGTTCAGAGACTACCGGGCCCATCAAGTCCGGGCATTTGACATTTTAGTGTCGATGTTTTTGACCGTTTTTTGTTTGTGTGAATAAGGACCTGATTGTGAAATTAGGGATGCACTGATTGCAATTTTCCTGTCCGATTCAGAAGTCTGACCTGCCGATTCCGATTCCTCTTTCTCAGATCTATAAATGACAGCACGGCTCCAGACTAACACTTTTCAACACCGTCCCGAAAAGTAATCTCAACTGTCCTGAAGTCAGTGTAAACCGTCACAAATCCAAAATGTTAACCTTTCACTTTGTTAATGTCATCTATAGTTGTTATTCGCCCCAAAAAACAACAACACAATAAATCATTGTAATTTGATCTAAAAAGCTGTTTGTAGTTTTAATCATATGTTATCATAACGCCATAATTCCCTCTCTAATATCGATTTAATGTTGCTGTGAAAACATCTCCTTCAAACTACTGGATTTAAGTTTTATCGCCAAAGACTACATTGTACAAGATTACATTTGAACACGTCTGGACAGCATTATAATCCACCTTCGCTCAATACCCGCTTTTACTGAATAGAGCCAGAATGCACCATAATGCCAATCAATGCAACCGTCGTTAGCTGTCGGCTCCGACAGCCGATCAATCGGTGCATCTCCATGTAAAAACCTACAACAAATCAATACCAAAAAAAACCTATTATTACATTATGAAAAACTAATACTGAACCGTGAGGTGAGTGCATCTCCTATGCTGCTAATAGTGCATGTTGATGTGGATTGGTTATTGTCATTTATGTCTTTATGGTTTTTCTTTGGCAGACTCACAACAGACCTCACTGTGATCCCTGTTGGTGCTTTTTCTTGGGGCTGATGTTTTCCTGTGCTTGGATCTATCGCTGTCAATATCAGTATGCTGGGAGGGACTTGCTTATAGACATTTCCATATGTCAGAGAGTTGCTATGGATGGACTGTGTGTGTACTCAAGTGTGTGTGCCTGTGTGTGTGTGTGTGTGTGTTTGTGTAAGCCGGGGTTAGCAGATCAAACACACATCTGTTTGTGAGATGGTGGGGAATCTGTGCTTCTCCCCCAAACCTCTCAATACTAATTAACGATCCACTGATAGTGGCCAAATGCCAACTGTCATTAGCACCCAGCGCCAGACGAGCGCGCGGATGTTGATGCGCGCGCTCGCTCTCAAACACAGATGCGGTCGCTCACCACCACAACACTGCAAGCCATCTCTGTTTCCACTCACTCAGCGAGCTAAAAATCCTCCTGTGCGAAGCAAGAGGAAAAATAATTAAGATTAATACAATTAATCAAATCATATGTAATAGCTAATCAGACCTCAACTGCTTCACAGTTTATCGTATGTCTGTTAAAACAGGCCGCTGGCACCTAACACTATGCTGAAAGACACGAATGACGAGCTCAATTCTCGGAGTAGATGGGGACCTTCGACTTCTTCACTGATAGTGCCACAGTGCCAGTGCTCGGTAAAAGCAGCCGACAGCTATCGCTGATTTTATTTAGGGAGGATTCCATCTATGCCCGAATAAAAAAAGTAAAAATAAAAATAAAGGACACGCCACCCACTCTGGTGTCGCGTTTATCTCTCTGCCTGCATCTGTCACTCACTGCCTCGGTGACGGGGTGAGATAGAGAGAGCAGAGAGGTGAGAGGTACGACACTGTGAGCAGATGAGGGTCTCCCCGTATGGAGCCCCCCCCCCCCAAACCAGCATGACACCCATCACGGCCTCACAGACAGACAGACGCCGGTTGGTCTGGATAATGCCACCCACACGGTGGCCTCATCTGGGAGGCCAGAAGCCACGGGACCACCGGGAGGAGATTGACGTTTCAGTCCGGCTATCTCTCATCAAACTTGAGCCGTCATTAAAGTCCATTTAAACGTAAAAAAACGGGACATTCAAGGGTTTTATCGAGCACATGGCACACCGAAAATAGCATTTGCTTTGCACCTTTCAATGGAGTGATATTTTTCTGCCGCGTTTACAGTAGCTGTCTTTGCCCACCGACGACGACGACGGCGGCGGCTTAAGGGGAATGCATCGACATGAAATTGTTCCTTGAAAACCAGAGCGGAGCCTCGTCTCCTCTCTCCCTCTGCCTGCCGCCATCTCACGACAGCATCTCTCACAGCCCTCTTGATCTCTGTGTCAACAGGCGACACCGGCAGCTCACACTAACTCAGGCGCGCATCAGCCCATCTGCAAGGCAAACCCTAACCCTCCCCCCGTCTGCAAGCGCATTTAGCATAGACTTTGGGCACGATTAATGGCACGGCAGGCGAATACTGTAAGTGCTGATGTCTTTATACCTGACAAGGTACCACTTTAGCGGGTGCCATCCCTCGCAGTAAAAGGCAGCCAGCGAGCCTTTCCGCAGACATTCTCGGCGAGGCTGGGAACACACGAGCAGCAGGTAGGGGATCAAAGCCGCTGTTGACAGACTCCGCGAACGCAAGGATTTATTCAACTCGTCGAGAATTGTCGCAATGTTTTCTCAGCGGCCTCCTATCTCCGTGTGTGTGTGTGTGTGTGTGTGCCTATACTGATGGGGG